AGACCTAAAGTCCCTATTACATTCTAAATACATCATCATCAAAATCTATGATATTTTTCCCAACAATTTCCCCCTTTTTGATGATGACAACCAAGTGCTTAAGAGTTTCGGTCGCTGTACTGAGAACTAATTTTGTAACTTTCTTTTAGTTTCTCATAATATACAGCTTGTTAACAAAAACTCTTAAACAAATACAATTCAAATTACAGTAATTCCTAAACCAAGTTTTGTCTTGAGATTTTGTGATCTCTTCCGTCATTGACTGTTTTCAGCTTCAGCAGATTCTGCTTGGCAGAGCAGTTGGCGTTGCGTTTGATAGATCTTTAATATCCAAAGTGGATATTTAAGATCTTGGAAGCAACACATCTCTCAAAATAAGAAGAAAGATAAAGAGAGTGTTGTTCCAGAGAAGGTGTATGGTCTAATACTGAAAAATATGAGATTTCCACCATAGACCTTCTCTACTTCCGAGATTCTCACCATAGACCTTAAAAGTCTTTTCTTCTCAATAGGCTTCTTCCATTGCCGTCTATGAGGGTGAGAAAGAGAAATTTCTCCATTGAGAATATTTTTCTTGGTGTGTTCCTTAGACAGTGAGTTTGAGGACTTTTTATATTGAGAGAGTTGTTTGTGATGGAAATGGATTGAGATATCTTGATTTAAATAGGAGAAGAGAAGGTTCACGGGTTCCATTAAGTGGGTAGCTGGAACGGTGAGAGTAAAGGAGTTTCAACTTCCAAGAAGTTGAAAAGTAAAAGGAATCTTTTACCAGTTACCAAAGAACTGAAACTGTTTTAATTTGAAAATCAGTTTCGATTGGTTTGAGAAACGTAACTGTTTTAGTTTGGCTAAGCCCAAAAGAGTGGCCCAAAAAGAAAAGAATGCTATGTACTAAAGGGAAATTATTCCTATTGGGTTCTCAAGGCCCAAAATAAGACTATCATTTTTCATTCCCTATAGTTCTAATTTCTACTTAGGACGAGGTAGCACCAAAACAAATGTGAATATTTAAAAGAAAAGTGGTACTATATTTCCAAAGTCTTGTACATTTTTAAACATCCTAGGGACCAGTACTTTTAGAGCTGGTTGGAAATGAATTAAGGACTAAAGCTTAGTTTAAGAAGGCAGATTTTGTAAAGTACCTAAATCGGAGATTTCCAATTTTAGTACCAAAACTGAGATATCCGTCTTCCATTGCTTTGAGCTTATCAATAATTCATTGCCAAAAACAATTGTTAGCCAAAACTAGTTAAGTTCCCCCTGAATGTATGTGCTTCAGAAAAAAATAATTAAGACAAAATTATACTTGAGATAAGTATAATTAAGCATAATAAGCGCAATTAAGACATAATTAAGCAATGTTTAAACCAATCAAGCAATGTTTAAACAAGAAGGTGTTTTCATCAAAACAAATTAGTGTTTTCACATACTTTCCCCCTGTTTTGATGTAAAGAACCTTCAGTTTCTGTTGCGCTTTGAAGATCCGGCAACTTCACTGATGCCCTTCATGTTCCCACACAGTTCTTTGATGCGTCTTAAATTTTCACGTCTTTCTTCTGATTGAGCATCATTTGAGAAGTGGTCAACAACTGTACCTATAAATTCTGTTCCATCCAGTCCTGAGCTGGATAGAAGCTGTGCTGAGTTTTCCGGATTTCTTTGCTGTGCTTCAAGGATTAGATTTGTCAAGTTCAGATGAGAAGGAATATAAGATACTTCTCCTTCTTTGATTGCAATAGGAAGCTGTGGTATTGGAGATGGACTGTGTTGTTGGAGAATTACTTCCATCTTGCGGTTTCCAGAGTTTGCACCAATAAGTCTGAACAGCTTGAATGCTTCCTTTTGATTGTCAATGATCACCTTCAAGTAGTCTTTGGTCACTACCTGATTTGCAGAAGCTACTGCTAGGGCTGATCTGATGTCCATTTGGAGAAGGGACATCTG